GCCTTTTCTAAACACTTATTAGGTGACTGCTGCAGGCACACTTGCTGGGTACCCGCTACAGCATTAATACAGTTAAACCTGGACATAATATAATTGATAAAGTCTCGAAAAAATTCGTTATAGAGAGGATTTCGTTATATGCAGGTTCGGTACGAAAATTTGGAAATTAAATGCGAAATTAAACATGAGGGGTACTGAAGAAGAGCTAACCCAAAACACTATTTTACAGTAAAAAAAACTTAATTATTATTGCGATAGCAATTACATGGATACACTCAGTGGGTTTTTTACATAGCTGACATGTTCTGTAACAAGTCCAAATTGATAACATGTCCCCGTGCATCGTAACTTTCACAAGCGGGTAAAAGCGCGCGAGCGCTGCTGAAGCAGAGATCAACTGAGTCAGCCTATCCCTATCACCTGCAGAGTACATAAGATAACATCGCTGCCATGTTCTGTAACAAGTCCAAATTGATAACATGCCCCCGCGCATCGTAACTTTCACTAGCAGGTAAAAGCGCACGAGCGCTGCTGAAGCAGAGATCAAATGAGTCAGCCTATCCCTATCGCCTGCAGAGTACATAAGATAACATCTGCCGTGTGTTACAACTGCCATCAAATGCTCAAACAGAGAGCAAACCACCCGTCATGAACGAGCATGAAACAACACGGGGAGGGCGGGGGTAGAGGAGAGAATCGATCTAGTAGCATTAATGAACTTAGATTTTAAGAGCGGTCGCGATCGCTGGCACACTTGCGATCTCGGCGAGTATCACTGCTGTTTTAACGCGAAGTGACTGTTTGAGAAAAGCACTTCTCCCTGGAGAGGCCGTGTTTGCTCACACCAGCATGTTGTAGGAGTTTCGCGATATCCAATCCAAAAAAGTTGGCTGCAGCCTTATTACCATTACAATTTTTTGCTATCACGTTCATTGCATTGCATTCAAGGTGTCGTCGTGTTGCCAGAACTAATCGGATAATCGGGAAAACTACCAGCCTGCGAACTCGCGGCGCGGCGCAAGACAGAAGCGCGTTACGAGCCAACCTCCGAAGATCTGTCATCACCGTGGTCACGGAGAGTTTCCATCAGCGCCTAATCTGACATCCCCGCGGTGGTGAGGACACGGTTGTCCAAAATTAGGAAAAGTCAGTTTTGCCGCAAGGGCAAAGCAATTAATGACTGCAATAGCAACAACTTTGAATGTAACGCTAAGAACGGCAAGCAGATCGAAACATGCAACGCGCTGCTCACGCACAAATGACGCATGAAAACAATTCACATGACCAGAGCGAACTAACAACGTTTACCGCTCGACACTTAATGCACTGTATAAACAAAAACAAGGCACGAAACGTAATCACAAGTACAGATATGAGTGCGAACTAACAAGTGCCCCAGTTGTTACTTCGCTGTTTTTGAAAAGCGCACTCTTTTCGCAAACGGCACCTGTCCAGCGAGCGAAGTAATCTTTGTGCGCCCAGCAACTAAACGCAATCGTTCCGGTCAAAGTCGAAGGCGCTATTTTCCCCACCGAAGGATAAGCGCGCACGCATAACCTCCCCCTCCCCCTCTCCTCTATTCGTGGGGCAAAGTACGCATGGGAGATAAGGGCGTGTCGGCGCATTGTGATAACAGGGTGCCGAGCGCGGGCAGCCTTTTGATTTTTTTTGGAGTTTTCACATTGGATACATACATATACGGTGAATGACGGCTGCGGCAACAACAGCAATAAACCAGCCGGGACTCTCCACATAAATGGTATGGTAATAAAAGAAAGCAACGCCAGGCCTGCGCGTAAGGCGCAGCACAGTCACAGCAAAAGCTGAGCGGCCTTTCAGAGCCTTTTCAGAACATTCATTGGGTATCCATTGCAAGCACACCTGCTTGATACCCACTAGGGCATTAATAATAAACTTTTGGGTAGTAGGCTGGCATTTGCTATGCTATTTTTTGTCATTCTTCTGAGAAGCGTGGTATCCGTGGAACACTTGCAAGGAATTGCGTGCCAATTGTTCATGCAGTGGCTGACGACCAGGAATCATGGCTGAAGTGGGTGTGCGCCACAGTTACAAGAACAATCTTTTGTAATGGGTTGGAGCATTGGACCACCCACTCGTTACGCTATTCACATTGTGCGACGAATGGTTGTCTTTTGCTGTTTTAAAACGCTTTATAAGTCGTATTGACGCAACTGCTTCCCCGACATCAAGCCTGCCTAAGGCAAGTTTGCCAACACGTCTCAAGCACCGGTGTGGCTCAGTAGTATATAATACTAAGCTGGGACCCAGCGGACCTGGGTTCGAGCCCCACTGTGTCTGGTGCTAGGTTTGCCAACAAGTCACAAGCACCGGCCTAGCTCAGTGGTAGAATACTGGGCTGGCACCCAGCAGACCTTGGTATCGAGGCCCACTGTGTCTTTGCTGCTAGGTTTTTTTTCCCTAATTTCACGCGATGTGGTTATGAACACCGGCCGCGGCGGACAGCTGCACGTGATCCGAGTTGTGATCGCATAACAGCTTTCACTATGAAAAAGCAAAGCTGAACGTCTTCAGGGGTCACACTATGCACGCGCAGTGAAATTATGAACGCGCGCACGGTGTCGAAAACGAAGAGCAAGCGACACGGATACCGCGGAAAACTATTCGGTAAAGCGTCCTCCAAGTGCAGCGTGGCCCCACATATGTGACGCTAACTAAAGCATGGCACTGCCAACGTGCAAACGTAGTTTCCTTTCTTCCTTTTTTATTTTGGTTTGGAAGAGGGGGGGCACACTCGCCTGGTGTGCCGTGCATGCCACGCTGCTTCGTCAGCAGCGGGGCAACCGCGGAAGATGCATGCTCTTAACAAAATGCGAAGCAAAATTCCTAGATTGTCCGTGGGGAAAATTCGTTATATCAAGGTTGTCTCCCGCTGTTACTTTGTTACACAGAGGTCGCAAATACATGTGCTTCTATGGAGCAACAGCGGGGAATAGAAAAACTTCGTTATATCGAGGAATTTATTATATGGAGGTTCATTACAAGCAGGTTTAACTGTAATAATAATTTCTGGGTAATAGGCCGGCATTCGCCGTGCTATCCCTCGACATTCTTCTGAGAAGCATTGTACCCGCTAAACACTTGCAAGAAATTTCGTGCCAATTCTGTATGCAGTGGCTGATGACGATGAGGAATTATGCCTCAAGTGGGTATGCACCACCGTTAATAGGTGATAAAAAACAAGCTTTTGTATTGGGTTGGAGCATTGGACGACCCACTTGTTACATGATTCGCATTGTGTGTCACCTGATTGTTCCTTTGCTGATCTAAAACACTTTATAACTCACATTAATGCAATTCCTTTCCCGACATCAAGCCAGCCTAAGGCAAGTTTGCGAACTTGTCCTAAGCATCGCCACAACTCAGTGGTAGAATACTGGCCTGGCATGCAGCGGCATGCATCAAGCCCCACTGTGTCCTTGGTACAAGGTTTTTTTTCTTATTTAGCGATAATACCGTAATTACTCGAATCTAATGCGCACCTTTTTTCCGGTTAAGCGAGTTCATAAATCGCATGCACGTTAAAATCGAGTGCGAAAAAAAAAATGAATACGGTCATTCTATTGCCATCGAAGTTTCCAAAACGGCCGCCCCCTACGTGCTTCGGCATGGCGCTTCGGCCATTTCTGCCTATGTGTTTCCCATGTGCGGCACTTCGTACGTGTGCTGAGGAGTTCGTCATCTTGTTGTTCATTAGCATCGACGGCATGGAAGGGTCGACTCCAGAAACTCGACGAGTGCACCACGATGCCGCTTTTAAAAGTAAAGTCGTCGCATGTGCCGAAACAGACGGAAATCGGGCCGCATCGCGGTCGTTCGGAGTTTCCGAAACGTGCATGTGGGACTGGCGGAAACAAAAGCACAAGATTGTCAAAGATTCATGCAAATGCTTCAGTGGACCACAGCAGGGTTGGTTTCCGCAAATTGAAGAGCTGCTCGCCAAGTATGTGCTTGAGCAGCGACCGGCGCAACGGCCCGTGACGACAGAACTGCTCTAAGTGCGGGCTATGCAGTTAGCTTTAGAAAAAGGGCCAACGCAGAGCCAGTTCAAAGGGAGCATGTGCTGGCTAACTAACTTTATGAAGAGGAAAGGCTTTTCTCTCCGAAAGCGAACGGGCATGCGCCAAAACTTGCCGAAGGAGTACGAAGAAAAGCTTCACAGTTTTCAGAGGTTCGTCCTAAACTTGCGGCACAACAACGGCTACCTGCTTGGGCAAATTGTGAATGCCGATCAGACGCCTCTTTACTTCGACATGCCTGGCACCACAACCTGTCAAGAAGAAGGGAGCGAAGCCAGTTCGCATGCTGACATCGGGCCACGGTAAAACAAGAGTGACGGCAATGCTCCATTGCACATCAGATAGGCACAAGCTTCCCCCGTACCTCATATTTAAACGGAAGACGCTCCCGAAAGGAGTCGATTTCCCGAGTAGTGTGATCGTGCGGGCCAACGAGAAAAATGGGTGCGCGTTACAATCTAGGGCGCGGTAGAATAGAGTGAATACAGTAGTTTACGTACACCAGCGGTGGCAGACAACTACGGCACCGCGCATGACCCGAATTTCGATCTCATAACAGCTTTCACTGTAAAAAGATAGGGAAGACACGTGACGAACCGCAATCAACCGAAGCAGCTGTCCTATCATTAGTAATTACCTTTCGTACACTGCTTATCAACATAATTCTTATGGCAAGCCTGCTCAGAATGCATAAGCAGACATCATAACAAGTTTTGTATCTCGAATTGTTTACGGGCCCTCGAAAGATGCCACTGTCTCGAAACTTGCTTTCACTTTTGTCATCTTTACAACTCAACTTCTTCCTGAAGCATATTGTTCTGTTATTTCTGGATGGAAAATTTCGCCCCCTTAATCCTCCTAAAAGTGCCACTGTGCTCGTGCTTGCTTCTAAGTTCACCTTTGTTGCCAATCTCGCAACATAGCAATGAAGAAGGGACTCACAATGACAGCGTCCACCTCAGAAGGAATGACTCGAATGTAGAAGCCCAGCCGGTTGGCTTTCCGGAATGTCACTACACTGCAAAGACAGCAATATCATGACCAAAGTTAGAAATCAATAGCAAATAGGTTTTAAATATGTAGCAAGTGATACATCTGCTTGCCAAAAGATCACATAAGGGTCATTCCATGTCGTCATGGAATGAACATTAGGACAGTCACGTCATTCCATGTCGTGACTGTCCTAATGTTGGCCGCTCGACCATTTGAGACTTTATTAAAAAACTTTGAGGACTGTGTATTTAAAGCTAGTGGTCTTCACCAAAGAAATTTTTCGTGGCAAAATTTTTCAGTGGTGTTGAGCTTTTGCCCATGTTTAGATTATCGAAAAGCTCATACAACGCTTTGTCAAGAAAAATGTGTTCATTATAGATTAGGTTAGAACAAGATTTCCCAACAAAACAATCGTAGGCTTTTTACTACCACAATCTTAGGTTTTCACAATCATGGCTATAATCTTTGATCTCTCAAAGACTTTTGGCCCTAAAAACGAGGCGATGATGCGACTAAACAGGGCAGTGGAGCGTTCCAGGCTGCTAACACTTGTAGAATACAACTACTGTTGTTGTCCAAGCATAGCCACACTAAGGCAATCAGCTTGTTGGACTGTCAGATTACCCTGAGGCAGAACTACAGGCAGAAGTCTGATCGAAAACGTTACAAGGTTATAGTTTCGCATGCGAATGACAGAAACAAATATGTTGTTCATCTGGTGTGGGACACTATAACTTGAGAGACGAGTTTAAATAACCGGTCGCTCCCTCTGGATTTAGACCATATGAACAAGGACTTACATCGTTTGTATAGATCCTAGGTTTAAAACTTTATTTCACAAGGAGCGTGATTTTCTCAGTTTTGGGCAGGACACTGTAGCATTGGCTGTGAACTGTGTACTGGACTTTCAGGAAATTTCGTCTGAATGTGCAAGGTATAATAAGTGGATTGACTGAAAGATTGCAGTGACTGCTGGAACTGAAATATAAGGATTTGCAGCAGTGGCTTGAAAGGGAAAACCCTGAATATACGTGGTCTGAGAGCCAGAGTAGTCAACCAGTGGATGAGGTGTGCTCCGATAGTAGGGCCTTTATTAGTAATTTCGACGGCAGACTTGAGAACACTTGTGATGAAACTTTAGGTGCAGATTCCCTACAAGTGGACGGCAGAGTCGAAGGGAAGGGTGACGGTGAGAACAGTCGAGGTTTGGTGACCCTGATCAATGCGGCTTCGCAGGAAGTTTCAGAGAAGGGACAGTCAAGTTCCTTATATAGCCATGTGGCTAAACGAACAGGTGCAACCGAATACACAGCTTTAGAAGAGGTAAGGGGTCCTCTAGAAAACCTTGATGGAAGGGCACTTGATGTTCGCATAGAGTGCACATCCGAAAAGCAAGGAGCAGTCTCTAGAAGAGATGCCGATTCTTCCGGTGCACGAAGTAAGACAAGTGACATAGCAAAGCGTAAGCTTTGTAGACGACTCTGAGACGGTAGCCGTAGAGTCATCCTGTGTAACACCAGCAGATATAAGCAGTGGCATAGGCACGATACGGTTAGCTCGTCTCAACATGGTGCTATAATTGCGTCGTATCAAAGTACAGAGTATAGCGTTCTGCACGAAGAGCAGGAAACGACTACGAAATCATTCAGTTCAGAAAACAAAAAGGAATTAGGTGAAAGAGCATGTGAGTTGTGTGCAATCCAAGCAGAACACTTAGAGGAGGTGGCAGCAGCGTCTGTCTGCGTGCAGCCAGCTGTTGTAACAGATGCCGTTGGCATGGCTGATGATCATGTGGATAACTATCTTATGAACATACAGAAGTTCATATTTAGTTCCGATGAGATTTACACAAGTGAGCTGACCAAAAGGGCAGAAACACCTGTCCAAGTGTGTATGGCAGTGTCGCAAGTGGAGCCAGTGACCAATGGTGAAGTAGAATGCCAGGAAGGCCTAAATATAGAGGTCGACTGTATTCACAGTGAAGCGGCTGGCCTTACAAAAAGTGAACAAGAATATAACAAGCCAGTTTTACTGCAAAGCTCTTTGAGCAATGAGGAAGCTCAGGTGCCTTCTCGGGCGTCAGCTGACCAGGAAGTCGTTAAGATTATAATCTTTGATCTCTCCAAGACTTTTTCCCTAAACGAGGCAATAATGCGACTAAACAGGGCAGTGGAGCATTCCAGACTGCTAACACTTGTAGAATACAACTACTGTTGTTGTCCAAGCATAGCCACACTAAGGCAATCAGCTTGTTGGACTGTCAGATTACCCTGAGGCAGAACTACAGACAGAAGTCTGATCGAAAACGCTACAAGGTTTTAGTTTTGCAAGCGGATGAAAGAAACAAATATGTTGTTCGTCTAGTGTGGGATGCTATAACCTGAGAGTCAAGATTAAATAACCGGTCGCTGCCTCTAGATTTAGACCACATGGACAAGGACTTGCATCGCTTGTATATATTCTGGGTCTACAACTTTATTTCACAAGGAGTGTACTTTCTTAGTTTTGGGCAGGACGCTGTAGCTTGGCTGTGAACTGTGTACTGGACTTTCAGGAAATTTCGTCTGAACGTACAAGGTATAATAAGTGGATTGACTGTAATATTGTAGTGAACATTTGGCAGGATATGTGTTGTGTGTGGTGAAACGCGCACTTATTTGCAGTTTTTTCAAAGCGGAAAAAAAATTCTTAAAAGGGGGGCTTTTGTGATGTGATTTTGCGCATTTAAAAAGTGCGCCACTCCATCAGCCAGAAGAAGATGATGATAACGCTCGGTTGCGGCACGTGTGGGCACGAACATTTTGGTCCAATAAGGTCCCTCCAGAGAGATTTAGGAGAGCCACTGGAGAAGAACAGCGAAGCTATAGGCAGACATGGCCGAGTCGGGACCGAGTGAAGAAGGTGGCCAGGGTGCGGGAGTGGCGGCCAGCAGAGCTCTTGCATGAAGGTCCCAGCGGGCTGCCACCTGAACACAGAGCTTCTTCTCGTTGCCTGACGTGGGCCAGGTTTGTTCTGGTCTTCTGGCGTTGGCCAAGAAACGTCTCCTGCTTCGTGTGCGACCTGCGACTGCTGAACGACGAAAGGTCACTGATGTCGGACAGCCCGACCCTTCCTGCCGTGCCAGTCAACACCTGAGCATCTCCACCTATTCGCCAGTCTTTCCCTGCTGCACGAGTGCGTCTTCCCCGTTACTCGGTCGCATAAGTTGCAAGCCCCGCATTACCGCTGTCACCATTAGCGTGAGTGCGTTCATGACTTGGTAGCAGAGCCTCCGCTGCAAGCACCGCGTTTCGCTACGTTGTGAGAAGGGTTATTTTCCACTGAACATTTATTTCCATGCACTGTTTACGTCTTTCACCATTCGTTCTTCCTGCCAACCTCTTTCTAGTTGTGCGTGCTGTGTTCTTTGCCTGCTGTTTGTCTTTTAGAGGTTTTTAAAATATATTGAGTGTTGGGGATGTGGGTGGAAAGGAAATGGTCTCGTCAGCTCATTTCCCGATGATGGTTATGTCATCGGTGGTTTTTGCTTTACACGAACCTGCACGAGAGCTTGCCCATTAAACAGCCTCGTGACAGAATCACAATCATGGGCAGCCAAGTCAATTAAAAATGCAAACCTTGTTAGATTTCATTTAGCTGTCCCCTGACAGCATGTATGATGTGCTTATGCAGCAAAGGGCACTGATGTTTGTAATCCCCCTGTTAGCTTTATATTGCCAAGGCAATGATTGCTTAAACGAAGAAAGCCTTTACCTCCTTTGCTCTTGTAACTCCTCCTTTATTTCATTCAATGCCAGTCCAAATGCGTGCTCCTCAATGGGAGCCATTGGTCTACCTTAGTTCAGGGAGTGGTGTTGACCTGATGCCACATGACGTGTAGAGCTCTATGCATCACACAAGCATCCACACACTTTCCCCGTAGATGTGATAGACGTGTTTCTCGCTCCGATATCATACGTCTGTCAGATTAGTTCCTTTGCACTGCTTCTTTGTGACTTGAAGCAATGCCGCCACCGCCTCACAGCCCTCGTGATACAGAAGTGTCGCAAAGACGCATCCCTATTGGTTGCCTGCATCCCGCCACGACGAACTCGCTATCTCGAAACACCATGTCTCTCACAGAACCAGCGTGACCGCCAACATAGTGAACACGAGGAATGCATGACGCCACCCCCTAGATCTGTACACAACTGAACAAAAAAGTACTCTACATGATTTCCGTGCTGATGATGGGTTCTCTCCTTCATGACCGCAAAGCACACGCGAAGGCTCGGCCATGGGCGAGAGGAGGATAGGGCTAAAAGGGAAGCTGGTGAATGGCTCAATCGGGAACATCTGTCTGGCACTGATAAAATATAGCAGGTGCTGGCTCCAGCCAGCGGTGAAAAAAAAAAGGAAGCAGCAGCAGCCAGAGCTGGCATGAACATTAGTGGCCACGGAAGCAGACGATGTTTGAGAGGCCATCCATGTTGGCGAGGGCTACCCATGGGGACCGCTGGACCGCATCCAGATGGGTCGCGCTCCTGTGGTCACTGGTGTACCGGTCGGCAGGCTCTTTCCCAGTACTTGATCGGCTCCTGGACTGGCTGGCGTCTACCGGACGAAACGTCTATCACCACTCGCCCGGCTGCTCATCATGCCTTTCAGCTGAATTGCACTTCAAGCTACACCGGCCCTTCGCAATCGTCTGCTGAGGAGGTCTATCGAGGGCCTACAGTGCTACAGACTGTTGCGTGAACGTGAGCGCATTGCTATAGGACATTGCATTTTATTGCGATAGCAATTATATAGACACTCTCAGCAGGATCTTGCCGCCAGTGTCGATGTCATGCACTGTATATGTACACGTATCGATATATATGAGAACGCAAGACACAAAAAAATCCAGAAAAAAGCACTCCGGGGTGCGGAATCGAACGTGGGACCTCTACGTCGTAAAAGTGAGGCGTTACCCACTGAGCCACCCCGGAGAACGTTCATCACCGTTCAAACAGCAAGCTATTTATATCTACCACTTACCGCTGC